TCTATTCTATTCTATTCTATTCTATTCTATTCTATTCTATTCTATTCAGCAATACTTCCAGAATTTGAAATTCTAATTACAGTACACTGGCTCTCAACTCTCTTTTGCTTTTAGGCTTCTTTCCCTCAGAATGAGAAAAGAAGCTTGTGAATATATCAGTTCAATCCCATGTGCTACTCTTAAGTCTAATACATATTTTTCAGAGCCTGCCCACCAGTATCTAATTTCCAGTTTTTCCTCCCTAGCAGAAAATCTAGTTGATCAAATTAGGGGAAAACATCAATTGAGTTCAGTACATTTAAAAACAAAAACAAAAAAATTGTTTCTCTAGATAACGAAGCGACCTTATTGTTAGATATTCAATGGGGAAAAGTCATTGATGTCAGACTTCCCCCATTGGTTCATTTTCCAGGCGGGAAAATGAACAGCTGTCAGTGGCTGAAATTGTGGACAGCAGCCTGTAAAAAGAACAGCAGGCACACCGGGCGGCAGTCTTTTGTTCAGAGCTAAATAAAGAAATCCTTTCCTTCTACCGTTGTTCTGCCTCTTCAATCTAGCCCATATCAAACACTGGCGACGAGGATGGGATACTAGAAGAAGCAAAGGAAATGAGGCAAAGACAGAAAATTCTAACAACAGAACACTGCTATCACCGTGCTGATCATCAGAATGTCTACCCATGCTCAACCAGAACCTTTTGATCCAAATCAGCATGACTGGGTCACGTACAAGGGACAATTTTGAATGTTTTTAGAAGCAAATTCACTGCAGAATACAACAGAACAGAGGAAAAGAGCTCTATTCCTGGGATATTGTGGAAATCACCTCTACAAAATGGCGAGAACCCTCGCTGCTCCCAAAGATGTGGAAACAATGGAACGGCAAGAATTACAGAAGATGTTAGAAGAACATTATGCTCCCGCTGCATCATCACTGGCTCACTGACTTGACTTTTACCGCAGAGAACAGAAACCAGGTGAGACCATAAATGATTACCTTACAAACCTACGAGATATTGCTGCAGGCTGTGAGTTTGAAAATGTGGAAATAACTTTAAGAGATAGAATTGTAGTTGGAATGAAGGATCTGAGATTGCAAAGGAAGCTGATAACTAAAAAGAACATCTCTTTAAAAGAAGTAATAGAGGAAGCCGGAGCAGCAGAAATCTCGGAAATGGGAATCACCAAAAGCACTTTGATGTAGAACAGCGGTTGCTAACCGGTGGGCCATGAGAAAATTTTGGTGGGCCTCAGAGAAATCTCACCCCCAGAGCACCCCCACAAAGCAATTAATCCAGGCTGCAGAGAAACACAAATCTGCACCACCCACATGGCCCGCGGGAACCCTCCCCGCCCACGCATTATCAGCACCTGGACATGCCCAGTATAATGGGCATAGACCGATTGACCTATGTTCAAATATCTGCATTGACTCGTCAAATCTGTGGGTGTGCTTGGATTGTAGTGTGGGTGTAATCTGTCTAGCTCTGATCTTAACTTCTGCCCCATTAAAAGTTTTGCTGGACTTCTGTGTGTGGCGGCTAAAGGTGTGATATGTTGTATCATTAAGAATTTGTCTATTTTATTTGCCAATCCCCTGGTCTCATTTTTGCTAAGGTTTCCTTCATGGACCAGGGGATTGGCAAATAAAATAGACAAATTCTTAATGATACAACACAGATAGAAGTCCAGCAAAACTTTTAATGGGGCGGAAGTTAAGATCAGAGCTAGACAGATTACACCCACACTACAATCCAAGCACACCCACAGATTTGATGAGTCAATGCAGATATTTGAACATAGGTC